TCCTCTGCGCGAGGCTAAAAGCATAATTTTACGTAACAGTAATGCTTTATAGAATATTTGTAGCAGTTCCAACAAGCCAACCTTAAGTATAGTGTAAAGAACGACTGTGGCCACAATCGCAAAGAAACCGAGTAGGCCAATTGTGAGGAACGTCACTCCTATTACATGTGTGAAATGCCTATAGTAAGAATTTACAAGAGGTGAAAAGGATATTTCAATTGACAAAGTGAACAAACTTAGCAAACATGAGTCCATCCAGTTGATTCTTTGTCCTATCATCAAATACGGCCGTTTCGTTCATCCATAGTGTAGGATAGATCATATTCTTCATATATGGGAGGATGCTACAAACATACTGCCACTTTTTCTAGCAAATGAACACTGTGGCGAAGAAGTAATTCAGTGGTAGTAATAACGAACTAAAGTTCCCCTTTCGTCATTCCGATGTTGATTTGCGTGAGTTTATTCGCGTGGATTGGGACACCACTGGTTGGCTCTACTTTTACAAAAGTATCGTCGTCTTTCTTGCTTGGTGCCCGCATGCCGTCAACAGAGGAGATAACCTGAAAGAAGTTACTTAGTCCGTCCTGCGCCAAGGCTGTTTCATGATTAAGCGTACTGCGCGATGAGCGTTGAAGAAATGAGGCTGCGAGATGTAAACACGTGGCGATCCTGGTAGGCAACGACTAATGTCGAGCAACCCTTTCGGTAGACAGCCAGCTTAAAACATATTCCTGTAGATCAGTTCATCTTGTGTGAATAGAATAAAAAAATACATACGAATTTGCACAGTGGTATTGAAGTATGCAGGTGTGTTCTTTTTATTACAGTATCCGCGGTTCTCAGGCACATTTGGGTCGTAAATATCCGAAGGAAAACCGTAACGGAAAGCAGCTATGTCGCGAAAATCAGAGCGTTCACGGAATTGCATTGTTACTGTCCTGAACAGGTATTTTACTGCCTGTTGGAAAATGAAACCAATAGCAGCTATACCTGCAGATTGGACCAGCAAAAACTTCTATTTGTCTACCCTCTTGAAGAAGAGGTGGGAAAAGCTGACCATCTGTGCCTCGAATTTCGCGTGCGTCCATCGAATCCCACACTTCCTCAGGAAACACTGTCATGTTGTTGTAAGTATGAACCTAAATAACGCCGGTCAACAATAGATCGCGATAGATCGCGTTTTTCTATTATAATTTGAACAGAATGTATAATAAATTTTTACAAAGCTTGCCTCCAATTCTGCCTTTCTTTTTGAGGAGAATGATCATAAAACGTACTTGATGACGGCTACAAAACTTTCAGACTTATTTAGGTGATGGGCTATAGATGATATCAAGCTTGTCAAGAGTGCGATGGAAAATAGAGGGAAAAGCGGATATCAAACTGCTTATGCTTCTTTGCCTACATGAAC